TTTGTATAAAGTTTATTTGATGATATTTTTTTTATAAATTATATAAAATTAATTTGTAGTCGTATGCAACAGAAATTATTACTCGATTTAAGTCTGAAAATAATCTGCATGTTAGACATGCAAATGAGTTTTATTTGCCGGTGACAAGAACAAAGATATAAAGCAATAGCACAAAATTTGTGAATTAAAAACTTGGAACAAGCTAGCTACCAATATGCGACAATCCCGATCCTACTGGAAGTTCAAGTCTAACATCCATAAACTGATAGAAACAGATGCAATTTAATCAATCTTTTTTTCCTTGATTTCTTTCTTTTTTGTTTTACAAAACAATATTGGGTTTTGTTTTTTTTATAATTTTTTTATTTTTTGGACATTATAACATAACATAGCATAAACATAAAGAAATGATGGGCGCGAAAAACATATGCCCATATCTAAATGAAATAAAATGTTATTATAATATCATTATATATGATGACTTTTCAAAAACAGAAATAAACCACACACACACACTCACTTATATACTTCTAAATAAAATACACACACTCACTTATATACTTCTAAATAAAATAAAATAAAGATGTACGTTACCCACACATACTATCACCACAAACCACATCCACACACACCCGTATAATACGGGTCTCGTGGCCGAGTGGTTAGCGTGTCTGTCTACCACTCCCACGAACCGGGTTCGAATTCTGCAGTTCCTACAGGTTCATCCGGGTAGCCGACTCCCGGTCAACCCAGCCGTCCATCCTTTCGAGGCTGGTAAATGGGTAGACGACGTAAGTTGTCGCATGTTGGCCGGCGAGGTGGCTCAGTGGTTCAAATGCGCGCTGAGTCAAACATACATCTCAATGGCTATCATATACTCAGCGTAAATGATGCGGTGCTTGCGCGTGCACATAAAATACATGTGTACGTCGTGTGAAAAGGATAAAACAGCCTTTGTGGCGAAAGATGGCTGCTTCATATCATTGGTTGAAGATATAAAGAACATAATAAATAAATAATAATATATCTGTAACATTGTAAGTGGTTCTGCGTATGTCAGAGCTGCAATAATAAAGACTAATAAAAAAAATACATGCATACATATACTAAAACAATACTGATAATGAATAATCTTAATCAAGCACATCTACCCAGACCTCTATACACACCGTAAATACATATAAATACTTTAAAAAGTATAGTAATAACCAATAAATGTTAATAACTATATATTAACCTACCAATATACATATATTTAGTTCACACATACATCCAAACACTCGTTTACTTAAACACATTCTTGTCTATACACAAATTCATCACACATACTTACACATAAAATAATAAAACAAAATAAATTGAATAAATTGTAAATAAGTATACCTAAATAGAAATTCTATAATTAAACAAACCATCTCAGATACATATATGTACACCCCACACATACAATCATACATACAATCAATCAATCAATCAATCAATCAATCAATCAATTAGCTTATAAAGCGCTATTTCCGCGATGTTCAACAGCGCTCCTCAATGAATTTTGAAAACAGATGGGTCTTGAGATCCGCTCTGAACTTCGCAAGCGATGGAGAAATAGTTAGAGAAGTAGGCAGAGAGTTCCAGAGAAAAGGACCAGAAAAAGCAAAAGCAGATTTGGCAAAAGAGTGTTTAACACGAGTTAAGAAAAAGCGAGAAGAAGAAGACGATTGTAAACCGGGGCGTTTAGGTTCAATTAATATATCTGATAAGTACTTAGGAAATAATTTAGATTGAGACTTATACATGAACGTGCAAATTTTAAAAATTATTCTATATTTTATAGGTAGCCAGTGCAAGAGAACAAGATATGGAGATATATGAGAAAAGAAAGGGGCACGAGCAACTAGACGAGCAGCAGAGTTAAAAG